GAAAGGAGCACAGGCATGCTGGGTTGTGTTTGCCACGTGAGGGGCAGCAGACAGCCCCGAAATACGGACCTGAATCAGCCTCAGGCTTCTCCTTGGTGACTCCAATGCCAGCCATCCTCTGAGGCAGGGAACCAGCTGTGTCACCTCCGAGCAGATCTGAATCATAGAATCGTTAAGGTTGGAAAGGACCTCTGAGATCATCGAGTCCAACCGTTAACCTAACTGCCAAGTCCACCTCTAAACCACGTCCCTTGAAGCTTCGCTCAAGGATCGCTCAGGGCTCACAGCGGTGATCACCTCAGGGTTTGTCACTTCAATGGATCCCAAGACAATTTACTCCGAACAAGTTTCGCTCACGTGCACAGGGCTGGTGGGCTGCTTGAATCTCCAGATTTGGCTAAAAAGATGCTTTAAATGGCTTTTAAAATTTCTAACCTCTTGCTGCTTCCTCAACATGAGGCTGATTTCACCCACTGGAAAACATCGCACGTTTCTCTTGAATGAGGTAGCCGTACGCTCCTAATAAGTCACACAAGGCATTTTGTGAATTAATTTGGTATTATAAGCGTCCCACCCATTTTATCACTGCTTCTGATAAAAATTACCCAAAGATGCTGAGGTCCATTCCACTGAATAGACCAATATAGTTTCTAAGGTAAGAAATCCTGTCAGCCATAATTCCTATTTCTCATGGGTTGCAACACAGCCTTTATTCTTCTTGCTGTTTCAATGTTTTACCTGTTATTTTCAGAGCATATCTACCCAGGGATGGACTTATTGCCTTGAGAGCACCTCTGGTTCCAGGTGAATCACCCTGTTGTACTGCAGGAATATCCCGAGAAAGCCAAATTCCCGTTCTCCCAGTGACCAAAACAAGGGCCCTCCTTGGGTTTTGGTCTTGCGATAGAGGTGAATTGAGGAGGCAGCCGGGCATTGCACATCTGCATTTGAGATCCCAAGCTAGCCAGCGCACACTTGCAACGAGGCCGCCGTGTTTCGTGGCTGCGGTGAGCATCCTTCCCGTTGCGGGGTGCCCTCGCGGCTCCCGGTGCACAGAACATCTCCTGATAGGCAGATGATCGAGCGGCCCCACAAATTGAAGGTGGGAACCAAAACTAAAAGACGGAGCAGAATTCTCTCAATTTGCTTGTATTTCTTTCTGTTGACTTAAAGCAAATCCCTTAAGCAAACACGAGTTAGAGTTAAAAGAAAGGAAAGCAGAACTGAATTTGAGAAGCTCCGTGTATCAGATCTTGACCTTCTGCAATTCTTCTTGCTTTCCACCTTCTTGTTCTTCAGAGCCGAGAAACTTGGTCTTCGTCTCTCTGCACAGATGGTCAGATGCATTTCAAGCCCATCTCTTCCATGTCAATTCAAGAACTTCATGACTAGAAAACCTTTTTGAACAAAATCTGACCAGTCGTCCTCTGGGTAAGGAGGAAAAAGGCTTGGAAAAGATAAAGGAGACTCTAGAGGCAAGTCTCATCTTGTTAGGAACCAGGCCTCACTACATCTTGAAGGCGGGGGGGTTATCTAGTTAATTCACTAATTAAAGAGAAAGCAAAAGAGGAGAGAATATTTCGTCACTCACTGACTATATTGCTTTTATGGGCCAAACGTTATTTGCAAAGCTGTAATATTAATGGCCTGGAATAATATCAAGAATTATAGGGCTGGCGGCGGTCCGGTGCTGTACAACATAGAGCAACGACCATATATTCTGTCAGACAGAGCGACCCTGTAACCTCGTAGTACCTAACAACACCTCTTACTCTTATATTTCAAATATGCTACAAGCAGCAGTTTCAGGCTTTAAAAGCAGGACTAAATCAGAGGGCATCTGGATCTTTAGCAGGTCTTTAGGCTCAGCTTTAACAAAAGTTCACTGGTTTAGGCAACGGAAGATAAACTGGGAAGCTGGCGCTTGTGCTCTGCCCCTTTGCTTGGATTCTGAATCCAGGAGGTAGGACAAGAAACGCGATTCAGCGCTGTATTAAATCAGCCAGAGACAGATTTGATGGCAGCCCGAAGGTTGACCGACACCTAAAGAAGCCATGGTGAGAACAGCTGGGTTATCAGGATTAGTAAAAGTTAAAGGGGAATTAAAACCAGCACATGTGAAAACGGATACTGAAGTCAGCCCACCTGGGTACACGCTTACAGCTAAGCAAAAAGCCCTTCACTCAGCTGAAGGATCAGCCTGCAAAACCTTCATTAAAAAAAAAAAAAGTAAAGTTTGAAAAAACAAGCTATTTAGTAAAAACCAAACAAAAAGAAAATGCCCACAAGCGCAAGCCTGCTTTTGAAGCACGAGGGCACGGCTGCAGCAGCGGACGGGGCAGTCATCGCTTTCGGAAAGGGCATTTGGCAGGCTGGTAACCCGATGGATTTGGACGATCGTTTCGTTACGGCGTGATAAACGAGAGCACCCCATCTCCCTTTGTGGTCCTCCCACGGGGTTCTCCAGAGCGGGCTCACCCTACTCGCAGCGTACGGGGCTTCAAGCAGGTGGGCCGAGACGTTCCTACCCAAACAGGAACAGACTGCTAGACAACCAAATTTCCCTCGGGGCTCCAGAAATGTGTCTACAGAAGCGCTGGTACCTGAACCCCGCTGCTTGCGAGTCTTAATGAAGTAGTTCGGAGAGGTAAATAGATGGATGAAGCGCTCTACAGAAACATTTCCCCTGGTTTGCTTCTGTAACACACACCGATCACGGCCTTCCGTGGCCTCTCAGGCTCCGGGGACTCACAAAGCTCAGCTAGCAAAGCACAAATTAGAAATTCCAGGCTTTTAACACTTTTAGATGTTTCTTTTATAATCACCATGATCAGCCCCTTTTACTGACAGTCACTGTCCTGCTCTACCCGGGTGCTAACAGCATCCACCGGGGGAAAGGACCTGAATCTACCAAGAAATGCTTTCAAGAATAGCTTGCAATCAAATACAAGACGGAATAAAAGCAGCACACCAAAAAAAAAAAAAAAAAAAGAGACGCAAGAGAGGAAGCAAACCTCTCCAACAGCGAGTCCCGGCTCAAACCCAGCCCTAGGAGCACCCGACTGAGGACACCAACTGCAAGCAGGCGCCAAAATATTTGGCGGGTGCCTATAAGCAAGGGCTGAATGCCACACCTGGAGACCACAGGGCTCAGGAGGGCAGAGGACAAGAGCCATCGCGGCCACCGAGGTCAGAGACCGCAGCTCTCGGGCTGTTATTCCAGCAAAGGAACATGACAGCAGCAGAACAAACCCCGCTTCCCTGTTCCTCAGGGAGCTGCCTTTCCCATCCAGCAAGGAGAGCATCTCCCCTACCTCGTAGGTGCCTCTGGCTCTCCTAAGGAGCACCTCAGCCGAGAACCCAGCACTCCAACCTCCTTTTTCCCAACTGAGCTGTTTTAAACCAGAGCTTTGGGCTGATTGATTCCCAGCGCCTGAGAAACCAGCCTGTTTCTCTCCTAACACCTGGAAGCACTTAATAACCTGCTAATAAGCCAGGTCTCCGGGCCTTGGGGCTGTGAGGCTGGGGTCAAGGCCAGGCGGTGACCGGTGAGACCATGGCGCAGAAGAAATACCACTCCTGTCAGCTGTGGTGGGACATAGGACGAGGCAGGTCCCTCTGGGACAGCGGTGTCTTGAGCTAGGTCGCATAAAAGTTGGATTTTTATGTCCAACTCCTATTTTAGGCATTTTTTTGGCCACCAAACAGCGTCACGAAGCCCTCACAGAGGCAGCTGGGGCACGTATTTGGGAAGGGGTTTGTGCTGGGACCTGCACAGCCGCTCCCTCTGCTCCGCCATCGGCCGGGACAGCCCCAGCTGATGGGATGTTTGCCCCAGACTGATAAAGCTGAAGAGGAAGATAACCTTCAGCTGCAGTGAAGAGCAGCCAGGGGATTACCAAGAGCCTTGATAAGAAAGGAAATTGAATCCCAAGTGTGTATGTCACTGAATCCTTGTTTATTATGCATTGATAATAAATCAGTAATCCACTTTGCAGATTTAAACCCCATGAACTAAGCAAGTCTTTCCTGAGACAAAAAAAAAGCCCTAACCCATGGGAAACGGAGAAAGATCTCCTTGCCTCCCTGTTGCAGCCATCCTCTAATTAAATATTTACACAAGAAGGAACAGGAACCTGAGGGTCACAAAAACAGGGCATAGGTACCAGCCTGGGAAATCACCTTTGCTTCTTTTTGGCCCATTTTTTTGGGGCTTCTCTCTCCCCACCTTTTGCATGGGAAGCACAGGCGCCCAACACAGAGCTTATCTGCCACCGAGTCTACGTTCTGCTAAGAATCAAGCCTCAAATGTTTCTTTCACGATCAGCTAGCAGTTTGGTGGCAAAGGCAGGAAAAGGAGTTAGCTGTCTTAAATTCGAGCGCCGTGCCTCACTGAGGGGACGGCAGTTAGGGGAGGGAGGCGAATACGACCTGAAGGTAGGACGAGCTCCTTCCCGCCGTCGCTGTTAGATGCAGGGCTGGTTTGGGGACAGCTGGGGGAACAACGATACCTGGTTTGGGGACAGACCGAGCTGCGTAAACGCGCTGTATTTGGGCGTAGACGCTGGTAGATAAGAGCGCTGCCTACGTGACAGAAAAGCAATGTAAACTTCAGTAATGCGAGGGAAGAGATACGGTGGGATAATGGATGCCATACAGAGCAAACGGCAATTGTAACGGTAGAAATTCCTTTAATTTACAATCAAATTACATTGCACTATAAATAAAACATGACAAAATACAAGAAGAAACTAACTTTTTATAATTAATAACCCCAAAGTCTTCTTTTTTCTGAACATCTCCTCCAGATAAATAGCGAGAAAGATACCAAGAAATACTGCTAGAAACATGGTGATCACGAAAACTTCTTGGAGCCGTTAACTGCTACAAGAGGTTATTTGCCTATTTTTTTGGCAGCCTTTGGGAACTTCTTAAACTCAGCCTGTTCCTTGAAAAAAAGCTGAGCAAGGATATGATCTGCTGTTCCATGGAAGTAGTCATTCATACGAAGAGTTTCCAGCTATAAAGAAAAAGATAATATTTTTAAAAGAATAACCATAGCTACCGGATCATTTTTACAATATGGAATATTAAAGTGCACCTCAAATCCAAGATGCAAATGAATTAATGTAGAAGTATATAATTAATGACAAGTGGTACGCTGGGCTATCAAGATCGCTGGGTACGTGTAACCTGAGCTATAGACACCCTTGCTCTGGCTCCTAGGATATAGACGTGTTCAAGGCTTGCGAAGATCTCTCCCTTTTGGGGGGGCTCGGCTTGTGAAGAGCCTCAGCCTGCCCGGTCCGCTCAAGGACAAGCACTGCCTCTTAAACACCAGCGGTACCTCGTGCACAAACGCGATCTGAATTCCATCTCTCTTACACACACGGAGCATGTCACACCCTGCCACGGACCTTTTCTTTGTCTTCCCCACCTCCCGTTTCCTTCTACAGAGTTTTGATAGGGGTTGCACGCCAACCATTCACACCAGAAGGGAATGTGCACTATCAGGGTACTTGAGATATTCTTAGAATTTCTTTTGAACGGTGCACACCAAAGCATAAAGCTTGCGTGCATGAGAAAAGCATACAATTATGTAAAGTTGACCATTTTTTTACTCCCCTTGCCCGTATGAATTCTCACCTGGTTCCCTGTACTGTAGGCTAGAATCAACACCAAATCCTCATCACATACGCTCTTGATATAATGCTGGGTTCCAACAGGGAAAAATATGACATCTCCAATGTCGATGTTGAACCTGGCGGTGACTCCAGATGAGAGAATAACTCCAGCCTATTGCAAGTAAAGCAGCAATATTCAACAACCACCGTTTTCAGTGTGCTGTTATTGGATAGACAGACAGTGATGGTCCCAGCACCGCACTGAAATCGGCTGGCGGAGCATCACTGCTTTCATTGAGACTCCAAAAAGGCAGAGGGGTCCTAGGCAAATTCCTGAGTAAGAACGTGGTAAGTCCTCACATTACGGAGTCTCATCATTCCATCTCAATTACCTCGGCACTTCAAATTTGCACTGAGCAAAAACCATAAAATCCTGTACTCTAAATCTTAATACTCACTAAATTTTCTCTATTTATCTGTATTATTATTATTATTATTATTATTAAAAGTATTGCTTTTTTATTTTGTACTCCCAGCATTCAGGAGAGCGGGGATTCCTGTCATAAGCATGTGTGATTTTGCTGAACAACTTAACGAGACGGACAAATTCTGCTCTTTGTATAACTCCACTTTGATAGACAAGCTTCCACAAATGTAACTGAGATCAAAATTTTGTACGGAGAAGGAAAGCGTGGACACTGAAAGTTTTGTAATACTACTAATTGCAATATTATTAATCAGGGCTGGGAATCCGTTATTAGCTCTGTAATTGTTAGACAGCCAAAATGCCACTGACTTATCCCTCACCGATGTAACGAATTACCTGTCCGCAGCCGCTAATGACATAACCCATCTCATTAGCATTGAAGTGGAAATGAGGCTGCCCCAGTCCATTGCTGAATATCCTGAGAGTTGCTAAGGTAAGGGTATTTTCATGCTGAAAAACAGAACAAAAAGGTTCAGACGACCATCCAAGTTTGTTATATCCCTGTTATACATGACAAAGCAGTTTGGAACCCACACAAATTGCATATTGTTCCTTATGTTTAAATAGCTGCAGTATCCAGCTGAAAGCACATACCTTGTTCAGTGACTCACTAAAAATTTTTTCTGTTTCATTTAGCCCAGTGCCATTTATGCGGTAGCGAGCCCACTGGAAGATTCCTCCTGGAAAAGGATATTCTGCTGACCCTAAAACAAAGACAGCTAAATGAGCATTTCCAACGAGGTTTGGTTAACATTGCTTGTTAGAGTATTGGCCAACTTGAAGTCATTACTCCGTCCTAAACTTGAGGCCTCGAATCTTATATTTTCTTAAAGAAAGCCCGTTTAGCTTCCCTATCCTTCATGCACCAGGCACTACGCAATCTCCTCTACTGCATTTTTCTCTAGTCAGATAATCACAATGAAAAACCCCGACTAGATTTTTTCCATCCCAAATTGCTATCAATAACAATACACTTAAAGAACATGCTAACTTTCAGTATATTAATTCATGTTAACCTTTACGGCACTGATTGTGCGTCAGAATATTTTGTAAAGTACTGTCAATGCAGAAGAACTTTTTCATCCAAGTGCAAAGATTTTTGTCACACATCTATTTCTCACGACCTCCATCAGCTGTGTGTGAAGCTCTGGACCTATATTTGCCATTTATAGCTTTTTAAATAGACTATGCTGCTTGGAATTAAGTTTTGCCATCTATGTTTATTAGGTGCTCACTGATAATCACTAGATCCAGGCTGTACAGAGGGGTGTTTAATGTAATTGTTGATAAACCGAACGGTGAATGTGCTTTGATGCCATTTATGAAGTTTCATTTGTAAAAGAAAAGGGAGGACATAATTAGGTTTATGTTAAGGTGTTTATTCATTGACGTTTCATATGCAAACGTGGGATATTCTGGGAAGCTCAGCACCAGTCACTCTCCAGCTAATCTGCTGCAGGGCTTCCTGGCCTATTCGATTTTAATTTCTGAATGAAAAGTTCAGGTTTAGGTTATTGCTTAACTTAACTGTAGCAGGGAACACGCCAGTCCTGGTTACATAGATTAGGAGAGAACCTTGAGCTGGGAAGTATTTAGTTCATGCCCTGCTGCTTACTGGCATTCTGCTCTCCTATCTACTGTTGCAGATAGAAACATTAAAATCAAAAGGGAAAACTACTTTGAGATAAGAATCGGGTTATACATCTTCAAAGGGCAGTAATTAGATGTAGTACCAATATATTTTTCATTTTATCTCCTTCAATTCTTATGATTTCTCTAGATACTTTTAAACTCCTGTTTCAGTGAATCGATTACAGATCCCCTCCTCTCCCCCTCTAGAAACAGAGAGCTCGTACAGACGAAGTTCTTAGATGCATACCTTTGAGATTGTAGAAGTACTGCCATACGAGGTGGTCCGGAGACTGCACATAGGTGGCATTTTGTACAAGCTCATCTAAGTTTGGTGGGAGGTTAACTGCTTGATCTTCTGCTTGTTTCTTGAATGTTCTGATGAAGTTAACTCCACCTTGTGGCTGCGGGACACAATGCATATTAAGTTAGAATCCTAGAATCGGAATTAAAAATTCACTTCATGGAATGTCCCACCTTAGTACCTGGTGGTAGACAAATTCTGCCTTGTGGACACACCTCATCTCTTTAATGGCCTCGCCCTGTCAATACTCTATTTTTCTCCTTTGCTCTGCCGTTCCTTCTCCGTTACCACAGAGATTTGGAGCAGAAGGGAAACTCGATCCGTCTCCCATCAAACTGTTTCAGGGTGGGAAGGTCTATCACAGTTCTGTGGTTTGAACACGCAAATTCCTCAGACTCAGCAGAAACTCAGTGGCCGTATTCTTGCTTGTGGGACATTGCCAACTAGTCAGCTCAAATAAGACCCATTTTAACAAGATGGACTTATCTATAGTTTCCTCTGAGATCTTCTCATTCCACAGAGTTCATCAAGGGTCTCTTGGGAAATTAGCTTTGAGCTTCACTATGTTCTTTTCCCTTCCACCCTTGGAAATATGGAGGATCCTCCATGAACTGGGGATAAATGCGAAGAGCGGAGGAGAAAAAGTTTCTTGGAGAGAGCATCATCATTTATTTCTCCTGGCCTATAAAGGACCACAGAGGGTGGCACAGTGTTACGCAAAGGACGTGTGTACATCCTTCCACACTGACGGGCCTAGAGAGAAGAGCTGAGGTAGGGAGGATCCTCTCCAAGAAATATAGAGCTTGGACTGCCATGTTAATGTGTAGAAGACTACAGAGAGGCTGGCTATCCTACCATACAGACCTTTAATGCTCTAGCTGCTATATCCTCTGGGGTAGAGAAAAATGCGTCATCTACATCCAAGGTCTGAAGTTCTTCATGTGTTGTAAAAAACAGCAAGAACACACAGTCTTCTGATCCTACGTTCTTTATCCAATGCACAGTGTTTCTAGGGAAGAAGATCACTTGACCAGCCGTGACGTTGTATGTGGTAACCACGCTGTCATCTGCACCAATTACTCCAATCCAGGCAGTACCCTGTAACATAATCAGAACTTAACGATCCTAATGAAAGTTTTCTCATTTAATCCATATGTGGCAAGTCAGTAATTCAAATAACCTGAAGACTGTTAGGAGAAAGCAGATCCTGATGCACTCTCTAACAAGCCTTTGTGAGCGTAAATCCAGAATAGCACTTTAAGTGACAATATTTTAGAAGGTTTAAGGAACACATGACAAATACATGTTGCTCATACTCAAACCATTTCTTATTAAAGAGGCTGTGAACAGCTATGAAGGAGTCATCTTTGACCAAAAACTGCTGAAGAGAGGACCAGGTGTTTGTGGAATGCTGTACTCCAAGGATGATCCCCTATCCAGCTGGAGCTGTTCAGTTCTATGCTGATCAAAACATGAATAATTATTCTTAGAAATAAATTAATGATTAAGATATATCTAAGTATCTACGCTTCCAAAGAAAGATAATTTTGTTTTCAAATTAATATGCTACCTTGAATTCCTCACGGTGAGTTTCTATTTCTCTCTTTTATTTTCTTTACTTTTACGGATTTGAAATTTGATGCTCAGGTGAGATAGGGCAAACCTTTTCAAAGAAGATTTATTGGGGGGGTGGAAAGGGCGGGGTATTTGGTCTAGGAAAGAGAAGACTTTATGGGAACAAAACAGTCTCCCATGTATAAAAAGTTGTGAGAAAGAAAGACGATCTGAGGGTCTCTACGGCCAATGGAGATAAACAAGGAGACATTAGGATTTTTTTTTTTTTTGCATTAAACAAAAATGGAGTTTGCCTACCAGCACAAACTTTCTAATGGTTTGTGTGATGAAACATGGGAGACAACTATTTTTTGATTTTGTAATAGCTCCTTTGTTGAAGATTTTTAATAACTGAACAAAACTGTCAGATATGCTTGAAGTATTCTTATCCCGCATCAATACAGGGGATGGAGCCAGAGGCTTTCTTAAGAACCTTAGCAGTCCTTCATCTCTGTGATTCTATGATGGCTCTGTAATATAATTACTTTAATCATAGTAAACGCTTGGATAAGTACATAAAATTCTGTAACTTTCAGGTATCCAAAGACTCCCCTGACCTCATTTTTTATGCTTCATTGGAAGCTACAGGTGTTTGGTCCTCTTGCAAGTAACATCACTAAACAGCCTTTTTCAAGCATCTCCATTTGAAAATGTTATTTCAAGCAAGAAAACTAATGTCATACATCAGTCAACGGTCATTCTGCTTTTATTACCTGTTAATATTTGTATATAATGTATATGTAATTTTCTTTTACATCTTCTATATATACATGATGCTTTAAACTGCGAAACCAATTGGGAAAGCTGGAATAATCAGATAATACCTGTAGCAGGTAGCCGTGTTCATTGGCATTAAAATGCCAGTGGGGAGCCCGAAGCCCTTTGCTCTTGATCCGTAAGGTTCCAAAAGTCATTTTGGAGCGATGGGTATTGATACTTTTTCCAAATTCCATTTCTTCATCACTTTGATATTCGTTTACATCCTTCCTGAATCTTGCCCACTGAATTTCACCACCTGGGTAGTTATGTACCTGTAAAGTTAGTGAGAGTGGAGAATTGTATTAATTGTGGACAGTGGTGACCAAACAATCCAAAAATATTTCAGAAAATTCTTGGTCTGGGCAATACTGGAAGGACCTATTCCTTTTCTCACTGAGGAGTCTCTCTGTATGTACTTTAGTCATTTTTCGCAATCATTTATATACTTTTTCATGTCGTGATGCAATAGTATTGTTTCTACAAACGAGAGAGAAATAGTGATATCAAGAACAAAATTATCTGCTCCTCCTCTTTTTATGTCATTCTGGACTTTGATTTGGGAAATCAGTTACAGATATGCTTAAACTTTTAGATTCAAACCATTTAGAACATTTCCTGAGTAAGACATCTTCTTGAATTTCTACAGTTGCAAACTATTTGCACCTGAAGCTCTTCCTTTCCCAATATTTGTACTGCCTCTAGAACATGTTTGGTACTTGAAAGAATCATCTTGCACTGAGGAAGGACATATTAAAAGGGTTTCTCTCCTCTTAAACACTTTTGCTTGCCTTCTTAAAAACATTTTTTGTTTGAAAAGGAATTACATAGTTAAATCTAACATCAAAAAGTACCAGAATGGCTGTTGTCAGTTTAAAGTGCCCTACTATCTAATCTATCCTTTTCCTTCTTTTGCTGAAAAGCAAAAGTTCATCAGGAATTATTTTTTATATAAAGATATATTTAGAAGATGGAGTATGTCTTTAGAGTTTGCTCAAAGGATACATTTCTATAAATATCAAAATACACCTAAACAAAAACTACATAATTCCTAGGGCTTCGTTACATTGTCAATTAATTCATTTTAGCTCACTGAAACAAGACCACGGAGTTCATTTTTTCTTGCCGCATAACAGTTTGTTTGGATCCAGTCCTAAGACCGAAAAGGTTAGCGTGCTACTCAGCTTACATTAAAACTTGATCTTTCTGGTTTCGTTTCTCAGAATTTCATACTCTGTAACTTCAGAATCACACATAAAATGGTTGCCTTGTCTTGCAAGCCTAATTTGTTGGAGCAATTATTTAGCTCTCCAAGAGGCACTCCAGAGATCTATACCACTTCCAACATCTGTTACGAATTGGAGCGAAATGCTGTCAGGAAGTTTGTGTCTCTCCCCATGGATTATAAAAGGAGCTTGGATAACCGGTTTAGACTGATCACCTAATGCTTAAAAAATAGTTAGGTGAAATTAATTCATTAAACTTCTATATATGATGCTAGAATATTATTGCACAAGATGAACAATTTACCTTTGATTTCCCCAGATGATTCAGGAACTGGAATTTGATATCCACGCTTTTTTCATCTGGTTTTGGGGAAGATGCACCATCATCTTTAACAGCCGTCTCTTTCATAAAGGCGCTGTTCTTTACATAGACCAAGGAGAGGGCGAGCACTCCTATTGCGGTGGTGATAACACAGGCCAACAGGCAAACTAGAAAGACTTTCATTAGGGACCAGCTGCCCTTTCTTTCCTGAAATTAATAAAAAGCCCCCCCAAACAAAAAAGAAAGCTTTCTTAGATCTAACACACGGGAGAAAGTTTGTGATAGTTCTTTTGTAATCAAAACAGTATGCCTTTCAGAAACACAGGTGTAGCCAAATTACTGAGCCCAGTACAGGGAAACCTTATAGAGCATATGATCAGATTGTTGCTGTCCTTTCATTATTTCATCAAGTCAAAGCACGTCTTCCTAGGGTCTTACAAACGCTTAAAGATTTTGTTCATTGCTGTTTCTAACCTATAGCACGAACCACTGAAGACCTGGAGCATCAACTCATGGCAAACCTTCATCTCTGGGGCAGAAACGCTGCCTCTGCCTTATCTCACATGGCTCAGCTCCCTGGCAGCAGAGAAGACCAGCCAGAATGGGGAAATTTTGTCCGTACTAACTGCTCCGGGCATCATTTCTTTACTGAAAATGTCCTTTGTGTACATCCAGGCCTCTGGAAGGGGGTGAAGGGGAGACGCAGCTGGGCACGCAGAAGCACACAAGTTCTTTATAGAAGGCCAAGGCCCTCCTGGCACCATGAAGCACCACCTTGGTGAGGATGTTCAGTGGTTCCTGTCCCAGAATCGTTTTTGCTGCTGAAGTTGCAGCTTCAGATGAATAGAAACTGCATCCTCTGGCCCAAATTTTAAAACTCTCTACCGATTCTGGGTGCACAGCTTGATCTACCTTTAAAAGCCTGATTTTTCAGACAGTGAGTGCCTGAAAATGAGCTGTGAATGTTGATTTCTGAAGCCAGACAATCAAAAATGAAAAAAAATTGAAGATTACTTGCTGATTTTAACAAAATGACCTTTTTTCATCAATCTATTTGGCAAAAGCTCTTTACAAATACATTTCTCTTGCCAGCAGAGAAGTGCTCAAACTATCACCCTACTCTTTTCTTTATAATCTTTTCTTCAGGTTAAATGACTCCCTTTTTAAAGCTTGTGTTCAATTAAATACCACAGCAGTAGTATTCAGACCACAGAGTCTCATCAGAGAACAAGGCTTTATAGTTAAATGCATTCGAAATCCCCATTTTCCAGATCTGAAGGACTTTCACTTACAGCAGTTTCACAGCAGTGGCACCAATTCAATAATTATTTTTAAAGTCGAAAGAATGCTGTACATATTGCATAATAATATCAAGTACAGACGGTTCTACCTCAGCACAACTGTGTGGAGTGAGTTATGTTGTGAGGAAACCACTAGCCTTGGTGTATTGATAGCCAAGAAGCAGCACTGTGCTGAGTGCAAACAACTGTAACGGCTGATGAGCGACGCGTCAACTCTTATTGCACGAAGTTAATTCAAATCCCAAGAAGGAAAAACTTTAATGGGAAAATTACTGAGAATTACTTTTCTCAAGGGCAAAAAAAAAAAAAAAAAAGATGAAACAGTACTCTAAGAGTACTAAATCTAAGAGATACTAAACATTACCACAAGATGAGCTTTTAAGTAGCTCTTTCTGTTAAAATCGATGGGGAATCCTCCAAAGATAATTACTTTGTCCAATAGTTATGGGATAAAGAATTTAGCTATTAACTTAAGTGGGGCCAGGGAATTATGTCTCACAGTTCAGATCCTAGCTAGTGCACACGGAACTACGCATTTTAGGACCTTAGCAACTGTAGCCCTTTACAGCTTTGCTTTTCTTCCGGACCTTCTTAATAGCATAGGATTAGGTCATATTACAAAATAAGGGTTTAATCTTCAGACTGACTCTGTTAATAATGTGTTGATAACACCGTAAAAGAAAATGGTACCTCTTTCTTTGGCCACTCTTTTCCTTTCGAAGAACTTTGTATGCTCTCTCCGTGCATTTCAAATGCCTGGTTATCCATTTAGTAAAGCTGAAATAGATTAGTCCACAGAAGACAAGAAAAACATTGAAAGAGAAGAATGTTAATTCTGATACGTGCTCAGTTACGTTACAGAGTCCAGGGAAGTGACTCATCTTCTTCTGCATAGTAACACGAATGGCATTTAGTGCAGTACCATTGTGCAGAAATGTGATGCAATACAACAAACTCTTCTTCACTAAACTGCAAGAGGGAGGCCTGACAATTTCCACATTCAGATTTAACGTTATTCACGTATCACATGAACCCTACGACACAACATGACAACGAGATAGAGTCTGAACCATCAAATACTTGGGGACAAAAAAAGCAGAGGGCATCTAGTTCCTTTACCTATGCTAACGACCTAATATATTCAAATTACAGTTTTGGCTGGTTGTGTAACCTACTTTTACAACCACAAAAACGGTTGAGGTTCCAGAACTTCTCTGGCAACCCATTTCCCTGCTTACATATTATTGTTAAAAAGGTTTTCACAAGCCTAAATCATGCCTGCTGCAACAGAACCGTTCCATTTTACCCTTCTGCAATGGACGTGCCCTGCTTTGGGAGACCAACAGTACATCCAGCCCGGTGGTTCTTCTCCGGCAGGACTTTAGGAAACGATAAGGGAGGGCAGAGCCTGGCTACTCTTTCCAGCTTACACCTTTCATACTTTCCAAGTACGCGTAACTGTTGGATGAGAGATGCTAGGGGAAATATCCTCTTTAATAGAATGAAATCTAAAGGGAAAACTCCGTGACTTAGATGAAGTCTTTTCTAAACCTGATGATACTCCCCGACCTCCTAAGTTTCCTGCTTGCAGGTTAAAACGAAGAGCACTTCTCAGTCCTAAACAGATTTATGAACTCCTTTAAGGCCTCCTACGTTTCTGTATCGTGGGATTTGAGCAACGGCATACCCACGTTCCCCTCTCCAAGCTGAAGGTCCCAGCCTTTTTAGTCTCTCCCTAGTAGGCAGCTCTTCCACCTCCATGATCATTTCAGTCACCCTCCTCTGGATCTTCTCTAACTCCACCGCATTATGAAAATAAAGAATAGCAATAGACTTCATCTGGGGTTGTTTAGTCTGGAGAAGAGGAGGCTGAGGGGAGACCTTATTGCTCTCTACCACTACCTGAAAGGAGGTTGTAGCGAGGTGGGGGTCGGTCTCTTCTCCCTAGTAACAAGTGATAGGACAAGAGGGAACGGCCTCAAGCTGCGCCAGGGGAGGTTTAGATTGGGTATTAGGAAAAACTTCTTCACCGAAAGGGTGGTCAAGCATTGGAACAGGCTGCCCAGGGAAGTGGTTGAGTCTCCATCCCTGGAGGTATTTAAGGGACAGATAGACGTGGTGCTCGAGGACAGGGTTTAGTGGTGGGCTTGGCAGTGACAGGTTAATGGTTGGACTCGATGATCTTAAGGGTCTTTTCCAACCTTCACGATTCTATGATTCATTGTTAACTGCTCTCCAAGCACTGTTTTCCACCCATCTTTATACTTCCCTAAAAATAATTTAATATAGACTATGAGTCCTTGTTTTGAGGCACACAAGTGTTAAATGTTGCTACCCAGTCATAAAAAGGAGACGAGGTTTGTGCAATACACAGTGTTTGTCATGACTTCTCTCTCTTTTTTTTTCCCCCCTCCTCATTTCCTTGATATATTCCATGTTTGATTAGGTACTTCTAGGAAACTGAGGTTTAAGCTTATTGCCCTATAATTCTCTGGCATCATTTAGCTGACTTTTTGTTAAAAGTAACTTTGCTAGTCCCATTTCTAGACCCTTATGGGACTGCACGGAGTTCAGATTTCTGATAACTCAAAGATAGCGTCAGCCATTTCTCCAAGAGCTTCATGTTAATGCTGGTAGGCGTCGTCCACTGAACACAGGTAGCTTGCGTCAGAGCTATCAATCACATTTTCCCTGTCGTAATCTGAGTTTTATTCACTGCCTGTTGCCATTGACATTTTAAGTAAACGTTATACCTTCACTGATATCATTTATTACATCATAATTATAAACTTACAAAATTTTCCTTGGTCCTCCTCATATCAGTAAGGGACTTATTGTTTACTGTCATAAGCAATAAGGAACTTTTGGGTTATTTTATTATCTTCGACAGCTCTTCCTCCTTGTCTGTCATTTTTGTGCTTTGGACTTTCCAAAAAGCACAAAAGTCCAAGATGACTCATCTTTAGGGACGATTCTAGCTATTTCCGCTATGCTTTCTTCTTGAAGACCATTGAGGACTCCAAGACATATTACATTTATTTTCACTGTTCCATATGAGGATATCCTGCAACTATATCTTAAATATACGTATTTTTATGAACTGCCAAACTCCTGAGCACCTTTTTCCTAGACCTTTTTCATAGGATTTTGCAAAGAGATCCTTGAATTTCTTGTAGCTGCTTTTTTCTATTCTTCCTTTTTTCCATTCTAAAAAGCTTGAAAACCTTGTAAGAAAATTCTCGTATTAACCTCCACTTTCTGTATCAAAACCTGATATCATTCTAGTCTAAAAACACCCCAGATACTCTATTCAATTTATTTTTTCCAACAAATATTTGGCTAACTAGTATCTCCTCAAGGCGAAGTATGCTGTCAGTTGTTTGCAAAAATGTTCTTTCCATCTTATCCTTCTTGGTTCGGTGGTCTTAATGGTAGGTCCTCAACGTAACAGCATTTTTCTCCTTTTATTATCATAAAGATACTTTATCTCCCTCTGTATTCTAGACTTCAATACAAAGGTAAATATTCATAGAGAAACGTTTCTTCCCTCCCCTTTTCTTCAGGAGCCACCGCCACTTTTTTTCTGTATTATTACAACATGAAATATCCCACCAAGTCAACATTTATGCTGCCTAAATCACAACTTTGCATAGAACCTTGTACATTCTTCCATTTACTTGCCATACAGCCTGCACTAGGTTAGACATCCTAAATGTTAAGCAGATGTATTCACTATCCTGTTTTCCATATGGCTTCAATCCTTTTTATAGCAACCCTTTATCCGCCGTTATTATGCCTCTGGTCACCTTTCCGCTGATAGCACTTCCATTCTTTTGCCATCAGCACCCATTAATTCTAGTTTAAAGCCTTCCTTCCTAAGTTGGTAAGCCTAAACTTAAAGAAGCGCTTGTTTTTCCTTATGAGATAGAGCCCATCTCTCCTCAGCAGTCCTTTCTTTTCTGTTCTGGAAGAGCTGTGAAAGCTCAGCCGTTCAAATTGGCAACAGCAGGATCAGGTCAATTAAAATTAATGAGAAGTTCTTCTCATTTCCCTTTGAACAGGAATTCTCTCTGCACAGTGAGAGACCTGCCAACTGTAAAGTTGACCAAATATTTTGAGTAAGGACACAAAAATTAAAACCCACGGTAGATCACAGAATCCATGGTCAACAAGAAAGAAAAGATATGATTTTCAAAGGTTTCACAATTCCAGATACTTAGGTATATATGAGAATCCTTAAGCATCTTGTGGAAAACAAATACAACTGCTCTGGCAGTGTCAGAGTTACGTAGAAAAAGAATGAATAGGTTGATAATGAGTGACTGTGGGGCTTGCAGTTTTTCAGATCCTCCTTTTCAGACTAAAACAGGTATAAACTCTAGCCAAATTAACGCTCTGCTGGCAGCACTGTTAGTCGTCATGATACCCGGAGCCTGAATTTAAGTGTTCCTATATCAGCACCTTTTTGTATCAGTGTGAATCATAGAATCATAGAGTCATTAAGGTTGGAAAAGACCCTTAAGATCATTGAGTCCAACCGTTAACCTATCGCTGCCGAGTCCATCACTAAACCATGTCCTCAGAATACAGGGATGCAGAGAGATTTGCTAATGCAGATGGACTGTTAGAGAGGAAAAGATAACTGTAGCCTACAGTCATTCCATGGCAAGACCAGCATCGCAATGGACTCTCTCGTTAAGCCTTGAAAGGGCAAAAAGCCCCGAGACAAAAATCCCACCTATTTTCCTCCCACCATGCCGAGGCACACTCTTACCACAGATAGGATCTTCACAAGATGGAAGAGCACAATACTTGTCTTCATCAAAGCCTTTACTTCCTCAGCTCCGTTTTACTGATATATATACCCCGTAATTCAGGAAGTGCCCTCCTCAGAAAAGATTTCCTGTATATGCAAATACATAGGATCACAAATACTTGTGCACATCCTTAGCAAACAGTTCTTGTAACTTGCTGACAGTGACTCTCCTTCTATCTAGTCCTGCTATTTTATTTTAGTATTTCCTCTAAATCCTGGTCTCTCACTGCCTTTTTGTTTTTCCCACTGCCACTACAGAAGACTGGAGTTCAGTAACATTCCTTTTCTCTGATCTAGCCTCAAGGACAAGAATGTCACTGACAGCTTGGATATGGCAATTACTTTTGTTTAGTATTTGATTTACGTATTCCGTTATTTCTCCTGAGTGGCAACTTCTTTATTCGAACTTAGAAGCAAACTAAATTCTGGCTACAATTGCAAGAACTGACCAGTGTATACAACCAAAAAGTTACTTTTTTCTATTGATCTATAAGGGATCGAATCCCTCTTTAAAGGCCATGAAAATCTTGATAGCATTTAAATAAATATAATTTTATGTGAAACCAGTTGTCTCCACTTAGTGACTAATGGGGTTTTATTGTTTTTTTTTTTTTTATTCTAGTCTTATTTGAATTTCTATTGTTTACAACTAGAAAGTGTTACTCGTGTTGCTTAGTTTCATATGCTTCAGGTACTTTTATTTTGTGCAGTATAGTACCTCACGCAGCGGACCTTATCCATGATCAAAGCCTTTCATACCTGGCCAATATGAAGTTAGTGAATATGAACATTCAATAACGTCAACAATACTTTTAGTTGTTACCCAGGTCTGTGTGCCATAAAACCCCCCAAAAGTTGTACTGAAATTCTCCATCAAAAGTACATTAAACTGATAAAGGAGAAATGTCTGGAGGCTAATAAAAAAAACGCCGAAGAATGAGGAATCTCACAAATACGGATAGGTACGAGGATTCTCCAAGGGGGAATTAATGAAAAAGACTTTCTAAATAGCAAAGAAACTCTGCCCTAACATCAAAAGAAGTTCTGAGGGAGCAGGGGGTGCTTTACATTTGTCCCGTGCACCCCTGCAAGCAGGGTACAAGGGGAGTATCAGGGCTCAGGGCACCAAGTCTTGCGTTGCATCCACCTTGCCTGTGCTACCAGCACCCCAAGGAGTATCTGTACACCTGGATGAATAAATCCACCTTTCTCCTGTGAGCTCTATAGACAGAATACCCTTCAGAAACAGGAGAGCTAGGATAGCTTAGGCAGTGCCGCACTAGTTGTGCTGAGAGTCTGAGGTGTACTAGCTCAAACAATGCAGCATACACGCATATTATGCGTAACTACCTACGCACGGCCTCCAGCGTAGGGCAAAAGTAGAGCAAATTCATTGTGATCCACGTGCGACGTCAGGAAAAAACCTCATCTTTCCTTGCACATCTGAATTCCTTTGATAAAATGACCTCTGGCAAACAGATACTGCCTTAAACAAGTTATACCTGCAGTACTAGTTGGTTTGTACATTCATATAATGCTTTATAAAAGCTTCTACAAGAAAGTTTTCTAGAGGAGTAATTTCATTTGTTGTACTCTGACTTCAGATCTAGCTTCTCAGCAGTTGATAAAGGCCAATAAAATCTGTCTGAAATACATTATTACGTATTACTTATGATCTCCCTGTGTTCTCATGATGCCATGACAGTCATAAAATGAAACAATTTACTATCTCTCTACTTACTAATTCCTAACAGGAAGATGGGAGAAATACGTAGCTAGTCTTCCTTCTACTTTTTCTTCTGGTTTCTATTTAATTTCTCAGAATCGGTACACGCTTAGGTACCTGCTTTCTCATGTGTACCTATGCTCCGAGTAAAAGGAAACAGTTCACTAGAAAGGCATGTCGCCGTACGTATTTTGTTTACTGACAGCATAAAATGCATTATATAAGGCTCAGAAGAGGTACAAAAGGCTCCTCTCAAAACGTTCTGTCAATATATTTCACTCCACAACTCAAATTACTACTTACAGCTTTTGTCTCTCAATTTGCTGCTGCCAAATGGGGTAAGTCCTATTCCTCTCCCCCCTGCACAAGCTCCAGTGCCTAGCAGTGGCTTTCATGAGCTATTTTATTCAATTATGCTGCAAATAAAAAAATATTCTATTACTTCTCTGCCTATTTAGGCCCACTGAAGGAGTTTATATGCTCTAAAGCTAAGAACAAAGCCAAGGAAAATGGCAGGGAGATTAGGACTTCCCAGTAACAGCGACAACCCGCTGTTGGATCAGTTCAGCAGTCTGTGCTCCCACAGAGGATGCCTCTAAACCTGTGCCTCCTCTCCCCAAAGAGCCAGGCTTTACTAGGAGGCGAAACGATTCAAAGAGACTTCAGACGCTTTTTGAGACAATAGATTTGGCAAGTTTGTGGTCAGGGAACAAGGCACAGAGAATTACATCAACTCAAGTCCTGTTAGAAAGAACAGCACGGAAAATATTATGTAATTATACTATTGCTAAACCTTACTGCTTAACTTTACACATGATATTGAGCTCCCCCTGCTCCTAACAGGCCCTGTAAGGAAGCGATGGCTAGAACTGGCCAAATAGTTAAGTTTCTTGCGAATTTTTATAAACACCCAGAGATTCTTCCATGAAAATGTTCACATTATTTGAATGAAATATTCTTTAAGAAGCGGTATCTCTTGTCACATATTGTTAGATCCTACTGGAAGCACTAATACTCAATTAAGCTTTGAAGTAATTAATGAAAAGAATGACTATGTACAGAAATACTGAATACAACATTTTTAAGAACGTGCACTGGTTCAGCTTTCAAAAAAATTTTGACCACTGGTCAGGCTGACAAATTATTTAAATTACACAATATTAAAATATTCTTAGATATCGGCTTCACAGATCATTTTTTCTTGTTCATCTTCATGATCATCGGTCTGCTCTTGTTGGTTACTGTTCTCTTCAACAAGACTTTTAAGACGTGACAAATGGTGTAAAGCCCTAGATAAGGAAAAATGAAGACTTTAACAACAGCGTACATATTGTTATTATACATTTAACACAAAACGATGTTGATTTCTTACAAAGAGCTTAACAGTTTGAATGGTATTATATACAGTTTACATCTCTAACTGTTCCACTTATGCTGTTTTAGAGATTATAAAATACCCTAAGTTTTTTTTAAAAACGATAAAACACTTTTCAGAACCGAAATTTGAAATACGTCTTCTCAAAGACAGGCGCGCACACACAGTTTCGATTAAATTCTTACAGCATGGGCATTTCACACAGGATATTAAACACTGCAAAACATTATGTTATAAAACAGCATATCAATACTGAAAGTTACTGTATTTTTTAAAATTAAAAAGTCTTAATTTTACATTACAGTACAAAACTATTCGGCAACACTGAGTTTCGTTGAAACAAACGTTCTACATAATAAAACTGTTTTCCATTCTGCCTTTCCTCAAACTTATTATTTCTTTGGTCACTTGTAACTCTTCATAGGACTCTGTTGATGTAATTAATGAAATACATTTTCTAGCAATTATTTTCTCCACTGTAGTGAAAAGTAGTAAGAAAATATTTTGTCCCATGTTACAAAATAATCAGACTTGGAAAAGTCTGAAGTCCATCTATGTGTAGCAATAATTAATCTGTTGATAGAGATGAAATACAAGTGTTTATTTACAGAGTAAATCTCTGCAACCCTTGACTAGATATTTCTCTGCTCCATGAACTGCCATGTTTTTAATTATTCACTACTGGCTTATTCCTAACAGAGTTTTCAGATCACATGACAACTCTCAGCTAATTTATCATTCCTTTTCTGCACTTTCTGAAAACAGTGAAAAGTCAGCAAAATCAATGGTCACTTACTTCCGAATAGAATTAGTAAGAGGGATTATCTCACTGTCACACAGTTTTAATTCAGCCTCTGCTTTTTCAGAAAGCTTGAAAAAAAAAAAACCAAAAAATTTGTTAACTGAAGGAAGGAAAAGTAGCTGAACATGACAGAAAACACGGAATTTTTGTAGCACGTTGCATTGGAAAGTATTGCCAACAGCTTTATAGCATCAGAAGGTAATTCAGGCTGGAAGGGACCTCAGGAGGTGGGCTCCTGCTCAAAGCAGAGGCAGCTACGAGATTACAGCAGTTGCTCAGGGCATTAGCCAGTCAAATCTTGAAAACCTCCAAGGACGGAGACCGCACCACCTCTCTTGAACAACTTGTTCCAGTGCTTGGCTGTCTTCAGGGTTAAAAAGTTTCCCCCAATGGCCAGTGTGAAACTCCTGTTTCAATTTATGCCTGTTTCTCATTCTTCTGCCATGCACCACTATGAAGACCCCGGCTCCATCTTCTTGATGCCCTGCTCCTAGGTGCAGGAAGACTTCTATCATCAGGTCCCCCAAAACTACTACTTCTCCAGCCTGAACAAGCCCAGTTCTCCCAGCTCCCCCCCATAAACATGTGCTGTAGCCCCCAATCACCTAGGTGCCCCTCCACCAGCTTATTGATGTCTCTCTCCTGAAGTGAGGGCCCTAAAGCTGGATGCAGTGATATAGATGTGGTCTAATAAGTGCTGGGGGATACAGAGGGGAAAAATCATTTCTCTTGATCCATTGACTGTGCTCCTGTCCACATATATTCTCGTATAGAATGAGTTTTATTCGCTACTGAATATAGGACATAAGGTTTAAGAACTGTGTGCAAGCAACAGTATGAAAAAGGTAAAAAGTGATAACAAAGTCTATTAAATCATTTTGAAACAGAAGTGCCACAAAATACCAACTCACTGATGCCAAAGGAGGCAAGGATAGAGCATTTGAGAATGCCTGGCTTTTCTAAAATTTGGTACATGCCCCTGACAGCCCAGAATTAACGGGGGTATTATCAGAAGACAACTTTTCCAGAACACAGCTATTGTGAGAGCAGCGGAGGAGAGGCAGCCTGTTCTTTTGAGGCAGGATTGCCTGAAACATCGCCATCTCCTGGTGCAGGAGCACTGCTTTCCGCAGCTGGCTGAGGCCACCCGCCGCACAGTGCCCCTGCAAACGGGAGAGACTGCAGCCTAAGGCAGCAGAGCTTCCAGTTTGGAACAGCAGCAACAAGACACAGGAGATTTAGGGCACAGCAGCCTTGAGCATCCGCTCCTGATGCAAACTGGATTGAATCCGCTGGCAGTGCTCTAAGATGACTGGAAACCAAGTCTTCTATAAAAGAACTGAATTTTTCTCAGAAATGTACACAGCACCTCGATTTTGACAAGATACAACGTACAGACACGGACTACTCACTTTTTCAAACTCTTCCTTTTGCTCAGCAGTTTCATTCTGGCATAAATTTCCCTGAATTGCTTGAAGTTTAAACAACATTAGCTTCAAAGCTTCAAAGGGCCTGTGATGATGACCTCCAGCAAAATTATTTTCCTAAACCAAAAGGCAAAGAATGTGTTGATCTTACAGTGTACTGCAGTGCAAATAAGACAAAACAAACAACTTTTGAAGTTTCCCTGAAACAAGTTAAAGGCTAATTTCTATGAGTGTTTCCCTCTACCTAATCTTTAAAGGTCTATTTATAAATTGTGCGTGTATGATGCTACGCTGGTTCATCTTCATTTGTGCCACCGTATGGTCAGGGAAATCGCTGTAAATACATACGTTGTTAGGAAGATGTGAAGCAACACAGAAAGGCCTCGGCCCTGGCTTGTGTAAAATAATTTAAGAATATTAAGACTGTCAGTCCTTGTATTGCTATGACAGCAGTGCTGGAACATGTTTCAGCATTTCCTAACTGACAGAGCAAATAAGCTTCCTTAATGATAAACTTATTTATTCATATAATTAGCAGCTATATGATATCTGCTCATTCTAGGATCAAAAAAGCCAATTAACTCAAGGTGACAAAAATTTGTGCATAATCTAGAAATACTTATGTCTAGAAATGTCTGATGATCTAGCAGAACCAAGAGAACGGGAAGCATGCAGGATGAAACACAGTAAAGCACCATTTATCAGACAGAATAATCTGAATTACTCATGCACACCGTTAGGTTTGGTGTCAATTAACTCCTTAGGGAAACAGAAGTAGGTCTCACAGTGGAAAAACTTAAAGGGTAATGCTCTGTTTACTACAAAATGGGAAAACAGAATCTTAGAGCGATTAAGATTCAAGGACAATAGGGCAGAAAGTAAAGGAAACAGGCCAGTACGTAAATTAGTAGTATGCCTTTCAACTAGAATACTGGGCTCGGCGCTCATCTCCCTAGCTGAGAAAGGGATAAAGGGTTCATATAATCAAAATGAAAGACTGAACAATAGTGAGACTGCCAAGAAGGTGATTAATATGCAAGAATGGGAATAAACCAATGAATAATCAAAAGAGTATATTCAATCCATGATCCAATTCCAGTGCAACAGCATAAATCATAAGTAGTATATGACTTAACTTACCTCTTGAACTTGACTCATACACAACAGTACAGCAGCCAGGCTAGGAAATTAGTAGTATTTAATATATCAGTAACAAAAAAATTTCTTCCTTTACTGGAGGCAGGAAAATTATTAGTTAAACAAAACACAGGGAGTGTAAAAGTCAAGCTATTACTAAGCAAAGCATTTTATAGTTAGATGCTTTCTTAATCCTAATTGTGACCAAGGGTTAGATTAGAGGATTTAATAAGTGTATCAATTCATCAGGCTCAAATATGACTAAAACTACTGCAGTTAGACTTTCTACTTTATATATTACAGAAGAAGAAAAACCGATTCACAGGTATTCCCCCTTCTAATATTTACCAGCCTTACATATTTGGGGCGCTGTCAGAAATACATACTCAATTTTACTGACCTGATTTTTGTCATTTAAACAGTCTTCCAAGAACTTATGTATGATATCTGCCTTGGGGAATGGTAGAGCATTCTCCACGTCCTCACAGCACACAGGCACTGGTGGTTTGCTAAACCAACGTTAAACATGCAATGGAGAATAACAACAGGTTTACAAATTAAAAGAATTGTATTAGGATAGAGTCATTAGGATGAAACCAGATATATTGCGTCAATGCAATGCCAAGGGGACACTGGTGGTCCTGTCAGCACTTTGGTGTCTGTGTGAGAGAAACGCCTATTTTTTCCAGTTTTGCCAGCATAATCAAAACCTGGGGAGCCACAAAAATCGACTGAATAAAAAAGGCAAGATAAGGCCTTCTTCGCTATAATTTATTACACATGGATGTTTTTCCTGCATCTGGTACTCCACCATTAATATTCAACATCTAAAGAAAAATAGTTACCTTCTGCTTACTGACCTCTAATTCTTCTACAGTCTCTAAGGTATTTTAATTCAAAGCTAGTAGAAACAGATACTAATGAAGCCTGATTTCCCCTGTGATGTTCTCCTATGTGGGTATTCCGGTGGCTAGCAGGAGACCAGATTATTAGCCTCTCAACAGGAGCATGAACAGTACCCTTTCTATTATCACGTGCAGTTTGAAACTTTTACTCACCTGTTAAATGCTGCTAAAATTAACCAACAGTTCAAAATCTTCTAGAGTAAAGGGAAACGGACAGACAACACCCAGAACCACATACACCTAGCTGCTTCTTAAAAACCGTAGGAAATGCTAGTATTGATTTTTATTATTCTTTGATCCTGTGGAAGAACCTTTCAGTCCCTGAACAACTGAAATTTCACTTACAAGACTGCTCCAAAACTTCCCAAGGCCACACCGCTTTTTTTTAAAAATATGGACTTCCCACTATTAACTTGTTTTTCCATAAACCATTAAATCTCTCAATTTAAGTTCCATTAAATAATTTTTCTCTTGAAATACATATCTTTGCATGTCAATGATATACAAGAAATATTATTACAAGGCAGCAAGAAGTAATATTGATAGCACTCTTTGCAAGTCAATGAAAAACGGGAAAGCAGTGCGCCAATATCCTGACCTCAAAATATCAAACATTTAGCACTACGCAAGAAATCTAATAGTAAATCCTTTCTTTATGTACATGCCACATCACCATTACTTATAATCTATACACAAAAGCAATGAAGTACATTATGCATTTTCATGAACGCATTATTCCAGACTACATGTTTACTTACAAAGCACCTGGAGCGTTTTCCCATGATCTTTCTGCTCCTAGTATATCTGTTGTAGAAGGACTGCCATCGTTTTCCAGATTATTTGACAAATCTTCAGTTGAACTCTCCGGACCTTTGCCAGCCTTCAAGGTAAGCAGCTCAAGCTGGTCTTCTAAAAAATAAGGACGCAATGTGTCCAACTCTTTTCAAAGGCGTTATTTCCACATTACTTTTAATTTTATATAATACTCGAAGAAAATTACTACAGACGAATTAGCACTGGCAATATTTTATAGAGAGTACAGCCCCAACACAACTCCTTTGGTTATCTTGGTATAGCAGTATGGCATGCACATCACCAGTATCAAATGGGATTGGCAAGGTTCCAGCCAGGAGAGCATTTAAAGTAGTCAAGCGTTTCTTTTCCTAACTTATGTGGAACAAGTATTATAGGCAGCATTCAAGATTATTTAACGTTTTTAATCTGCTTTCATGCTATAGAAAATATAATAAATATTAATCCACAATCCAATGTTAAATATTACTCATTAATACTGTAAGTTATTAGGTTAATTTTCTTATTATTTTTCTAGTAGCTGCTTTTACAGACACCTGGGAGAGAAATCATGCGAACATACACAATCAGATACAAGACTCACATTTAAAACCAGGTTGAGATAAGCACTCAAAGTGACAGACACATTCTCATATATTTTTGTTATGCCTAGCCAGTTCACGATTGGTAAAATTGTGCGTAAAAAAAAAAGATATAACCCTGTATTTAAAATTCATCATGCACACACATTAGAAAGGTATTTAGAGACATTTGCATATCTGGCATTTTGTCAGTTTGAATTCACAACATAAACACCACCATAACTTAGTTTTTTGTGTATAACCTCTCGGAAAAAGGGAGAGATCAACATTTATGCTTTGCATAACAAAGAAAAAATATTTTTCTTTTTAAATGAATAAACTTAAGACAGAAGTGAAGGTAATTAACACTTTGAAATGTTCATCTCTCATATCAAAGCAAATCTTGTCGATATTTTGTAATACAAAGATGGTGCTTTGCCATGGGGGGACCTCCCTGCTTCTGAAGAGCGATGGCCTGCTGCAAAGCGTGGCTACGTGAGAGATTCCCAAGGAAACTCTTTACATAAACTGAAGGCACTGGATAACCCAAGTATACAGGCTACAAATATTTCCTGGTGCATGTGTAAAGTAGAGAAAAACACTGCACACCAAATGGTATTTCTTACCAGTTTGACAGGTTCATTTACACTATGTTTAGGAATCTCTCTCCCCCAAGGTTACACTTCATGTAATTTAGTTTAATGCTTGAAATTCTATTAAAATATTCATGGAATTACTGTCATTATCTTGCAGTAAGGTACTAAATATGCCACTCTAATAAATACTTTGCTGTAAAAGGAATGCTTAAATATTGATTTATATATGAAAACTTACAGTATAAAAGCTGTTTAACTTGGTCAACTACTAGTAAGTGCTTTGAGTCCTTTGACAAAAGATAGACATGACTAAATCTACCGTACAGTGCAGTCAGACTAACATGGCTAGAGAGGGTTGGTTTAAAAAATGTACATCTTTAGACACATACCCTCAAAATTAAAAAACAAACAAACAAACAAATTATATGAAAGACAGTTACCTGTGAATGGCTTTTTGGTGTGTCCTGAAAAGAAGTTATCGAATTGGAAGCACGCATCTGGATTGTCATAGCTGTAACTTTCTTCTACTTTGTTATCACCTCTCAGATCCAGGCAACCGTTTTGTTCAAAAAAATGAGAACTGTCTTTATCTACAGAGTGTCTTTTTTTCAGGATCTCAAAAGTTTGTGAAGAGGAAGCTGTGCCTTGTACATTAAAATTCTGACCATCACTTTCTTTAGCTGAATCAGGAAAAAGGTTGTAACTCTTAAGCCAGACTGGGTAGCGAGAATTAGGAATGCTACTTATTCCTGATACGCTTAAGTCAGACTTCTGACTGGTAAGCCACCGTGGATAATTCTTAACAGGAAAAGTGTTAGAGGGCTCTTCAAAACACAAGGCTCTCGAACTTCCTTTAGAGGAGACAGAACCGTACCTATCAGATGTATACACGCTGCATTGCTTTCTGCTGAAGTCTCTGTGTGGATTCTGGTGAGCGACAGCTTTCCCATTCTTCTGGAGACTGAAACCACCTTCAGTATTGGGTGATGAGGTTTGGCAAGGGCAGAAAGAGGTTTTAAGCGACCGCCTGTTCCTCTCGCTACTTTGATGCCTTGATTTGACAAGACTACGCTGGACAAAGGGCAGCGACCCATCTGCTGGAAATGCTAACAGATCATCCGTCGCAAGACTAATCGAGTCTGGGTCACACTCAGTCTGCCTTCTACAGGGTGAAGCAAGAGAACCCAATCCTATGTGCTGATTAAAATCATCCAATGCTGAAAAACAGAGATATTTTACATGAATTGCTAAAATTCAAGCATACATGATAACATTTGTAAGATCTAACATGAAGTCATAATTTAAAGCTGAAATACATACTTTACCAGGCGTACTGAATTACAGTTCTTGCAAGATTGGTTCCGTTTCTAATCAGAATCTGGATAAAAACCTTACCAGTCAAGAGTCAGCCCTTCTTTCATAGTACACAGAGTATTTTCTTTATTTAAGAGAAACAAGATTTCAACATTCTACAGTCCATTTTTAGTTGCACATTTAGAATTGTATATTTTGCAGATGCGTCCTTAGTATTTCAGTCCTAGTAGCAACACTTCCTCCGCACAGTAACGTTAGGGATGACTTCCCCATGTTGAAAAATCGAGCACATTTACTAGAGAAAGAGATGGCTAAAAGCAACAGCTTGCAAGGCAAGTAGCCCGCTAATGGGCCTATAGACCCATTTTGTGATTTTAGAGAAACTTACATGCTCTATAAGATTCGACTTGGCAGTTTTTCAGGGAAGAATTATAGCATTAAATCCTTTTTTTTTTTTTTTTTTTTAACTGAAACTATGAAGGACTTTGATTCACAAAAATAGGTTTTCCTCAGCTAGTACCTGGAAGTTATTTTTTTCTCACTTTCACCGTAATATCAGTAAGTGAAATCTCTATATTGCAGACTATTACAACATACAAAACACACAGACGGACTAGCTAATACGTGAGTGGAGCTAATGAGACTTCTGCAAAGAACAGCAACAGAGAAATTTCAAAGTAAAATATGAGTAGATGACATCTTTCATAGAACAGTTTCTCATTTTTAAGCGATAATCAGAATACTTATTTTTGTTTGGGAAGTCAGTTAAACTTAAATAGAAGACGGTTTGTATTAGAAAAATATAAACTGAAAACTAAACACAGCTAAAAGCCAGCTGTCTTGATAAGAGAAAGAAAGGAAAGGTGTGAAGCTAGAGGAAGGTCATAGGCTATGGCTAAGAAAAAAAAGCCCTAAAAAATACAATATGCTACCAGAACTGTCCATGCCAATGCAACCCAGGCAAGCATCCTTTGTCAGGTACAAAGTTTGCCTGTACTTAGGACTTTTTTAATTTAGATGTAATGGACAAAGCATTTGCAGTATAAATTAGCTCAGGCACAGTTGTCTACTCTAGATCTTCACATCAACATTCATGCAATCAATTAAGTATTTATTTGTTCAAGCTAACCAATAATGACAAAAGCCAAGTCAAACCCATATACATTACCCCGTCGGGTTAGACATCAGACCCAAAAGTACATTCCATAAAAATCAATGGGTAAGGGGCAAATTTTGTTCTAAGACAAAGCAGTGTTTAAGGGAACCCATTCAATTAATTAGATTCTGATGTTACTTACTCTGGAAAGGAAACAGATTTTTTTTCGAGACTCAGGTTTAAGCAATGATTTACACTGTCTTTAGCATATATTCACATATAGAAAATACAATTTCTATTCCATACTCTGGAATTTATTATTGCATCTATGAGCACGGTCATGAATTTTCACCAATCCACCAAGCATTTACGAAAAATGCATTACAGAGAATGACAAATATTGCTAGCCATGACCAAGCATCATTTACTATACCATAAAGACTTGCAAGCAGCTGTGCAGGGAATATTCCTTCAGTAAAACACACCTGGTGTGAGACAAGGAGGTGCAATACCACTGGCAATGAAAACAAAACAAAACAAAACCAAACCCAACAACAAACACCAAAACTTATTAAAAGACATATTTGCAGAGGACATACCTTGTTTTTCTTTGGCATTATGCTTTGAAAACTCAACTTTTTTGGGCGTGCTTTGACATATGCAGATTTTTCCAGTGCTTATTTCTGAAGATGTGAGACTTAGCTCAAAGTCGTCAATATAAGCTTCCAGAGCCTCAGATGCAGAGCTGTAAAACTTGTCCTTGTAGTGAATCAAACTGTCCGAGCATGGGTTATTGCTGTCAATGCTACAGCTTGTTAAAAGAGACGATATTGTTGAATCAGGAGAGCAGATACTGCATTCTTTTATTGAGCTTGTCATGGTTTTTATCCAGGTTTCTATTAGAATCTTCACTCATCTTTTTAATCAATCTAAACGGAAAAAGAAACAAAACCACAAGTGATCATCTGCACTGAAACGTCTTCTGATAAACTGTAACGTATCTAGGATTTTTTACTTTTGTTATGCAATTTTCTTATTGTCCTAAAAATTACTATTTAGCTATTCAACTTGCTGCTTTTCAAATAAGTTTGCCATATATATGTGCCACCCCTAGAAAAGTAAAAGGCAGAAAATAAAGACTCTGGAAAAAAAGATAACAATAGGGAAAATTTCTTGTATATTGAAACTTTAGTAGTGGGGAAAAAAAAGAAATATAACAAGAGCACAAAAATCCAGCTCCTCACTAGTTCTAGAGGAACCTCAGTACACTGCCTTTGCAAGAACAGGATTTCACATAAGAATTGCTGACATTTGTCACCAAACACACAATTCAGCAAAGACACACAGAAGTATCACTACTTGATTTCAGAACCAGCACAAATGAGTATTGTTCATGGACAAAAAACCAGAAGTAAAATTAGCTTAGATAGTACAAAAAACTAAACAACTCGATGTAGCAAAAGTAGGAAGCCATTACCCTTGCAGATATTTTTTTTATAACCAGAATGGGTACACAGAGCAAAAGAATTTTACAAGCCACATGTGAGCGCTTAGAATCATCCTATCTATGGAATTTAGTCAACCCAATCCAAGCTGCCTTTATAACCCCCAAAACTGTAAATTAAAGAGTTGGAAGTGCAGGCTTGTTCCAAATGCCATAATCAGGATGGTCAAGGTCACTGAAAGAAACCTAACACTTCATTTCACCCCTGTAGGTAAAATAGCATTTGAAAAACCTGGAAACAGGTGCTGTAACAAGGAAAAAAAGATGAATAACTTTGTTATAGCCCATATCACACACGTACGAGGCTCATCATGCAATAGCAGCGTAAGGATTTGTATGAAAGAGGCACAGTGGGGACCAGCTCTTCCAAGGCCGAAGTGGTTTTCCCGTGAAGGCCGAGGGGCCGGGCTAGGCACCGGCCCGAGGGCAGCGCGACCGCCCAGAGACCTCCCGGGGCCCCGTCCCCACACAACCCCCCGGGAGAGGCAGGGCGGGCCCGCACGGGGGGGGCCGGCCGCGGCGGGCCCCCCCGACCCCCTCTCCCTCACAAGAAGCAGCCAGAGCGGGGAAAAGAAGCGCGTAAAGCAGCACAGCCCCTCCGCCACGCCATGAGGGTGTGCTAGCCCGTCCCCCCCCCCCAGCGGCCGCTCCTCCGGGCTCTGCCGCGCAGCGGTTTTGAAGGGACCGCGTCCCTCTGCAAAATGGCGGCGCGCAGGCGCGGGGGCGGCCGCGCGGCCCTGCGGGGGTTGTAGTCGGAGGCGGGCGGGGGCCCCCGGCCCCCGGGGGGGGGCACCCC